TTCGCGATTCAATCCGCGCAAATTACCAGCCGTTCTCGTGCTGCTGCACGGGTGCGGAGGGCATGCTGAGCCGATTGAGTGCGAAGTGAGGGAGGGCAAATCCTAAACCAAAAACGAATTGCAAATTATCAGAGTTGGTGGGGTAGCGTACGTGCGTGCACTAGACGAAGATTATCAGATACAGTTGGTGGCTGACGATGTTAGCAAATCGTCTGGTCACTCCAGGCCGGCAATGCCAACGACAGTACCAGCGATCAAAGACAGGGTAGATGGCCCACCAGTCTTCAGTGGCAGTGTGAAAACACGGGCCGTGTCTGGCGGTGCGGGGTGCTCAGAGTAGCGGGGGGACAAATGACAGAGGGGTGCGTAACAAAAATCGGCCGGGGAGAGTGGCAAGTAGAGGGGCACGAAGGCAGCATCGGCGTTTAAGGGGAGACGCTCCTCGAAAAAGTTTTTTTTTTTTATTTCTAGTAATAGAGACTTGAAAAGTTTGATATTAGTATAGTTTTTCATGCAGATTTCAAATATGCAATCATTTTTTGTGTAGCTGCTATAATTATTGAGTTATGCCATAAACAATAGCAAAAAGTTACATTTTTTGCGGGCACTCTTTTATGTACTAAACTTTCAGTAAAAGCACTGTGTCTGATCTTATTTGACTCTTGGTAGATTGAAACGTGCAAATATCTATATAGATATGTCACAGAAATATTGGAACCAAGAAAAAAAAATTGTATTGAATGACTTATTATTTTCAATCTCCCTTGAAACAATAAGCTAATATTTTCACAACTAATGCTGGTAGGCATTGCAATTTAGAGTAGATATTTGCATTCTGCATGTGTTGAAGAATATGTGTGCCAAGTTTCGTTACTATACAATGAATATAAGTTTCTAAAAGGCTGCCCGGAAAACGTGAAACTGTCAGAAAAAATGAAAATGAGAAAAACAAGTTTGAAAGTTCGCAAAGTTGGCATTTATTAGGAAATCATTCTTTTTGCATCAAATTGGGGCACAATGAAAAGTACCTTGCCTTGAATGCACTGCAAGTGTCTAGAAGTCCCCTGCACCATAGCTTGGTCCTTCACGGCTCTTGCGGTCAGTGTCCTCAACACGAGCTCTCTTCGCTGTGTTGCGACGGTGTGCCCTCGCTTCTGCAGTTTGCTTCAGGTTCATCTTCCTGATTCGCATGACGTCACAGTGGTCACCATGTGTGGCCAGATCTTGTGAGGGGAGAATTCCAATGCCTTCGAGCACTTCTTCAAAGCCCCTGTGGCCTTTGTTGTACCAGAGTACAGCAAGAGCGGTGGCTGTCTCCACAGTTGTTCTGGAGGCGAACTTTGTTTTTGGACATAGCAGCCATATCTTGCTGTTCAGCGATTCGGCTGCATTCTGTGTCTTGCCATGAAGGCACCGAATAAGGAGTTTCTCCTCTGTAAGGCACTTGTAGATAGGCATAATTGCCAATCCTAGAGCCTTCGTCAACAGTGGGGTGTGGCGTGGTGCAGGCTCCCCCAGTGCTTCCGCACGCTTGTGCTTGCACCACGAATTTGGTCCCGCGGGGCAAAAGTTGTGGCTACTGGCACCATCACTGGAGCAGCAATGAAAATACGATGCCCATATGGCAGTGTACATATTTCGGACACTGTCCTTGTTGCTCGTGATGGCGATCTTGTAATATGTTTGTAGTTTTATTATTGTCGCATCTTTCAGTTTTTCGCCTCGTGACAGTGGCGTTGCCAATTTCCGTAGGGCAGTTCCCAAGCGCTTTGCAACGTGGTTCGTGCACTCTTCTTTGTCAATGGGGGTGTCACAGTATACATTTGCCTCGCAGACTGCAGTGTAGGCCTTGCTGTCATATCACTTAGGAAGCTGGTGAATCGCAATCGCAGTGGAGTTTCATAAGACAAGGTCCTCTGCCATATATTGACAGCTGCCGCAGGTTCCATTGCATGGGATGAGCAGTCAGTGTTTTTTTGGCAAACTGGAAGATGAAAAGCTCGCCATATCTTTTCATCCTCCCCAAGGTCCCTGTGTATACTGCAAGCATGGCAGTAGTTCGAAAGAACTTCAAAATCGAGGCAGAGCCCCGTGTCCAGGGACACGACTGTGCCCACTCCATTGTGGCTTTTATGACCTCTTTTCTGCCAGGTGCCATCAAACATGACTGACACATCTCTGCCGCCGACTGCGTCCTTCGTGATGTTTCGTGCCTGGTGCAAGTTTTTGCTCACTGCCGTCATTGCCGCACCATGGAGCTTCTTGCAAATGCCGTTAAATGTCTTGTGATGCATCGGGCTCGGAAGACCGAGAATCGCACAAAATCGTGAAAGTTGGTCGTGGCATGCGCCTATAGCGCGTGCTGCCAGAACTGCCTTCACGTTTACAGCAATGCTGTCACGCGAGCTGCCGCTGTCAAAACGAGCGCTCGTTCTTTGGTCCCCGGCCGAAGCAGTACGTCTCGACGTGTGCGTGAACGAAAGTGCAGATTCAGGGCAATCAGAATTTTGACAGCACAGTTCGAGGAATGCCGAAAGTTCTTTGCGCTTTCTAGCTGCCTCTCGCACGCCGAGCTTCCGTTCGGGGCAGGTTGGGCATTGCGCACCCGCCACAAGTGCCGTCAGCGCATCGATTTCGCAAAGCAGCATGTTCGCAGTAGCAGCATCTACCGGTCTACGTTCACTCTCGAAGAATCCAATCTTCCTTTGGGATGCACTGACGAATTCCACGGCAGCGGCTATTTCACAACCACTGTCGCAGGGTTCGGTGACAGTGTTAGGCCTATCCGAAGTCGGAGCGTCGGGGCGTTGGTCGGGGGCGACATCGTCGTTCGCTGTCGCTTTGCGAAGCGTCCGACGCTGTTTCCCTCGATACTTGTGGCGAGTTCTGAACTTTTGATTATCTGAACTGCACTTCTTCGGGCTTGCCATGACGCAAAAATGCAGAGAAACGCAGAAAAACTCGATCGCGACGTCCGAGGCTTCGCTCTTTTGCCAGAGAGATAGGAGGGGGAGGAGCGTGGAGCGCACCGCCGTCCAATGGCGGCCTCGCGCTGTGTGCCGCGATATTCAAAACGCGTGACGTGCGCGTTGTTTTTCTCGTTTTTTGTTTATTCTGCGTGAAGGCACGAGACTGGCTACTAGTAGATTATGAAGGATACGGCCTTCGCAGCATGCGTGCACGATTGCAAATGGCGGCCAACGCGTCGTTTTCGCGACAGGACGACGCAAACTTCGCCGTTTTTCGCGACTTACGCGCATTTCTCGCGTCACCGCTGCCCACTTGGAAGCATTTTTTGATAATTTCTCGTGCGAATTTCAGCTTGATATTTTCAGAAGTAATAGATTATAGTCCAAGGATGCCAATACAGCCGGAAAAAAAAAAGCGAAAATTTTCCGGAAAGCCGCGACTTTTCGACCCGCGTCTCCCCTTAACAATAAGAATGTATGGGCACCTCGCCGATGCCTTATCAGTAGTCGAAATGAAATTGGTTTCCCGGGAAGTCGGCAGAGCGCCGACTACGTTCGCTGTAACCGATCAGCGGCGCTCGGACACGTTCGTTGTAAGTGCGATTTTGTGCCATTGAACTAATGTATATTTTCACGGTCACGCGGATATCGTTCGTTTTAAGCGAAAGTTTGTTTTAAACGGGGCCGTTGTATGTAGGCTCGCCTGTACTTTCAGCTCTGTTAGGCTTTGCGTGGCTTGGAACTGCTTTATCACGAAACGACGATCGGCAAATAATAAGCAGTTCCACTTTGCAACTTTAACTCTTTTGGCCTCACCGTTTCAAACAGGGTCCTGAATTTTACAACGATCTGTTCTTTTATTCCTATACTCCGTTTCATACATCAGGTGCAACGCTGTTAAGGCTAGGCAAGTAGTCCGTAAAGAAAACACGAAGTGTTGCTCCGCGCGGTTTCGTAGCCGAGTGGTCTGACGCGTCGCTCCGGAGAGTTCACCGTAGTTTTGAAGTGCATGGGTTCGAATTCACGTGGTGCCATTTTTTTTTAATAATTTTTGGCGAGTTCAATTTGAAATCTTGTTTTTTTTTCAGTAACTTCAACTTACTTGCACGCGGAAGTGAACTGCACGTATTTATTCATTTGTAGCATACCGTGTTTCCTTGTGAGGGCCGGAACCTGCTGAGCTGGCACCGAGGTTTGACCAGCATGGCGATTTTGTCGCGATTATACCGCATTGTCTGTTTACCTCGTTGATGTGAGCGAGTACTGCGTGTAAGATGACGTTAATTCATTGATTAGGTAGCACAGCAGCTCCAATGAGGCTGGGTTAACGACAGGTGCATTTTTTCGAAGCTGCCACAACAAGTAAAAAAAAAAACGACGGCGCGGGTCGCGCGGAGAGCGAAAACCTGATACGAAAGCGACAAACATAAATTACCAACTCGCATATTTGGATTGTTTATCCGACAACACAGGCGTTTGTTTTTTAACCTGATGACAAATATGTATGCTTAGAAGTTTCCCGAGAAGCATTTATTGATTCTTGTACACCCTAAGCGACGCACTACTTTTTAGTCGCGGCAGTACACAGCGCAAACAAGCGCGCTAGCTTTGACAGCGTTGCACATGATGTATGAAACGGAGTATAACAGAACCAAAGCATAGCAATAAACAATGCCACAAGTGCACTTGAGGACTAGGCAAATTCGTGTACTACCCATCCTTCCCATGGTAGCTGAACAATCGCAGTGCCAGAGCCCCCTCCAGTTAATTTGAGAAAACTCTTCAGCAAGGGTTCTAAAGCATGTTGGTGCCAGGGAACCCTGCTAAGCTACCTTAAGTGCCAAAGAACCCATGCAAGAATAATGGAGGTTCCCTAGATCGATCACACACCTCGGGATCGCAATCTAAGTGAAGTGAGTGGGCGAGTGTAAAACCAGAAAAAACTTATCAGGTGCAGGGGAGCCTCGAGAAGGGACCTGTCAATACGGAACCCACTTCGGGAACCCCTGCTCTATAGGCTTTCCATCTTACCCTCGCTGGGCTTGTGTATGGGTTGCCAGAGATCTTTCCAGTGCCACGAGCAGCAAACCAGAGGGCGCACCCGAGGCTGTCATCCAGGACGGTCTCCAGTGGGTAGATCAACTTGTGGATGTGGTAGGCACTGAGAGAGAAAAAAGCAAAATTCACAAGCTATTTAGTGGTCATGGCCCCATGCACTTCTGAGGTCTGTCTAAGAGACAATGTTGGCTTAGAATCGGTGCTTTGTCAACACCTCTGATTGCCTCTAATCATATTCAATTTACCTTATTAGCCAACACCAGCCAACAGTAAACAATGTCCAACATTAGTCAGAATCATACTATGGGAGTACATACAGGCCTCAGACAAACCACATACACTCAAACATAGATAAAAGTAATAGATATAACGAATTATCAATTGTAATAAAGTAAGAAAGCAGTAGCTTTGCCATAAATGAAGTATTACAAATAATCATTTATGACGACTTGTCGGATATAACGAAGCCTTTTTGGGGCAGGTATAAGTTTGTTATAAAAATGAGGTTTGAGTGTATACCTTTGTTTGTTTTTTTGTGCCCCTCTGCACTGTTGATAAAATATTTATGCACATGTATTTATCGTCTTGCTATTTCACACAATCTTTTTTATATATAAATTTGAAAGAATTCCAACTAGCCTTAGGTTAGGGAGTCAGATACATTTCTACAGCCATGATTACATTTTTGTAAATTTTTTGATGTCAGTAAATTCAATTCAACATTCATTAGGAGTTAGTTCCCTTGGACTGCTTATCAAGTCTTAACACTACACTGAAACCTCAATCATATGTTCCCATGTTGCATGACGATGCTTCTCTTAAGACCAATAAGTTGTGCCCAGGTGAAAGCCTTTTAAAAATTATGCATTTAAAACCTCAATTACCAACACAATTTTAGTGACCCTTACTTTTTCTTGGATTTACCCTGAAAACCTGAACACACATGCATGTGCACCATGCAACGACTTTGCTAAGTTAGACGATATGCTCCAGTGGCGTCCTGCATCATGTGACGATGGAAGTAAGACTTCTTCATGCTGAGATGTGGTACTACGCAGTCCCAACTTCTATAGACCTATTCCATGTTTGTGAACAGTGGTAGGCACGGTCGACATACTGAGGCACTTGTAGTGACGTCCCGGTGCATAGGCTTCGCCCAGCTCAAGGCTTGCCACCGCCCTTTATGATCACATGACAACTGGCAAGGTAGGTGCAAAGCTACCTCTGAGCACAGCACGTCAGAGGGGAGTATCCTGACGACTTGACTTGCCACCACCTTCAATGCAGCACAAATGCATTTCGAATGTACTGTCTTCAAAGGAGCCCTGCAACACTTCTTTAAACGTGGTCAGAAAACGCTGCCGATCGGTAATAGAGGCTCCCAAGAACCTGTGAGCCAAGTATTATAGCGCAACACACAGCCTGCAATTCACAATAAATTGTGGAAGTCAGCTAAAAATCGCTTTCTCTTTTCTCGACGAATGATGGTGGAAGCTCATAAATAACTCGTAGAAGGCCTTTTATCAGCAATTGGCTAATTTGAGCATGGCCCGCTTGGTCGTTACTGAGATCGCAGCAGGAGGCCGCGACTTGTCCACACGTGCGCGCGTAATCAAGCTGAAAAAGTTGCGTATTCAGAAAAAAAGAAAGAGAAAAAAAAGGTACCCAAGGTCACGAGGTGGGCGTGGCATACTTCCTTTGCCCATGCCATCCTCCCCTTGCTTAGGTTCCACCACTTTCATCGGGACAAGAGAAGAGAAGAGAGAATGCGATTGCTACATGCGACAAATCTTAGCAACTTCGGTCGTACTAGACAAATTTTTAAAACTTTTGCGGCATTGAGTTTGTGACGCAATAAGCTCTTTTAGTGAATCCATTCCATGGTTACTTGAAAAAGAGTTTCAGGGCCCCTTAAAGTGGTGACAAGGTAGCACAAACACGTTTCAATCGCGCTGCCACGAGGGGATGGCAAGTGAAGTTCCAAGGCCTTTCTGATTATGGGGGTTAGACACAAGCGCATAAGCTCCCCAGTGGCACTCATTAGACAGTCATCGATTTCGTTTCTGCAGCAGACATTGCACAGACAAGGCGATTTTTCTCGATTGCAGTTAAAGCGCGTTTCCCAAGCCAAAAAAGCCCGAGCAGCAATATATGCGATAAGAAATTTGCTATTGAGATGCAAATATTCAAGTGAAAACCACCACTGAGATGCAACCACGTGAGTGGAGCGTAGCTGGGCGAAATGTGCCGTTCCCCATTGTAAACTCCAAGTATTTCTTTCTGTGAATCAAAGAGAAACACACACGCAGCCTAATATTACATCTCATAATGCATAAAGTGCTATTTTTTATTATAAGTAGTTGTTTGAATACTAGTGACTATTTGTGTCTTGACACCCTCTGGCTCATTCCACTAGTGGCACATATCTCGTTCTATATTTACATTCATTTTGTCAATTATATTAGGGCACTGCTGCTGACACAATACTGACACTCGAACACTGACATTTAATTCCGACAAAAATTGTTTTTTGCCTTTAGTGCGTGGGTCACTTCTAAACATGCTTCAATCGTGAGTACATTCAATGTCTCCTAGGCAAGCTCGGCTGACACAGAGTTGCCTATTCCACTCTGCAAACTTCCCTTTGAGGCACTACATATCTTCCCATTTTCGGTCTGTAAAAGATTTTACCGGTTGACATGCAGCTGAAGATTTGCCAGTGATGAGACTACTCATGTGCAGAAGCCTTGAGCATGCAAAAACAGTGCGATGCAATTATCTTCACATTGGAAGATAACCTACTCTTGACATCACCTTTTATAATGAAAGTGGCACATAATCCATTGCACTTCACAGGAAACAGATACAATGCACACAGGTTCCAGTCGCACATGAAGTGAACCGACATGAACTCGTAACAGAAATGTGCTCCGCCATCACTACATGACCACGATGACTCTGTGTCTGATCCGTCAGACAGGAGGACGTTGCCAACATGGTTTCATTTTGTACTCATTTCTAACATGCAGCCAACTTCTATACTTGCTTTACCCTGTGGGGGAGCACGCGTGCCCAGCCTCCCTTTCCCTTTTTTACAGCAGCGTGAAAGCAGAGTTGCGAAATACCAGCACGGCCGGCACTCACGATTCTCCCCTTTCACAGCGCGCGGAACACGTCTCTTCTCCTTCAGCGAGGAAAGGTATTATTCTCGTCAGGGAGAGGGAAACAGGGGCAGGGGACAAAACTGGCGTGCGGACGGCCGCACGGGCACTCTGACACCGGCCTTGGAAGAAGGAGATCGAATCCGCAACCCCCCTGCGAGCCGAGGACGACAATGACCAAGGAGTAAGCGTCTACCCTTGTTTTCTAAACTATCTCCTCGCGATATTTGTGCGATATTGCTAACACCTAGCAATAAAGCGTTGTTGTTGACCTAGCCTGCTGCCTTATTCACCCGAACCCGTGTACCTGCAATGAGACTAGCTACGAATAGCAGACGTTAATTGTGCACGGTACGACTGTGTGCGGCTGAAACATTAGCTAGGCTTCTGCGTCAGCCGTACATAGGACGAACCCCCGTACAACCCAAAAGAAAGTACATCACAGATTTGATTCGATTTTTACTAAAAAAAATGAGCATGAATGTTCGTTTACGCCTGCTTCAACTAAATGATCATTTGCCATCTTTTAAAATTATCTTAGACAAGGGTGCAACAGCCGAAATAGAATTCGGGGCAATTTTCGGAGCACTAAAATCTTAATTTGGAGCCACTTATGGGGGAAAAGACATTTAATTCTTGATAACGAAAAACCAAACTTGGAGCAGTACGAAAAAGAAGGCTTACATTTAGAAAAAAAAAAACATGTACAAACCAGTCAACATCCCCTAAATCATGCAGAGTGAAGAGCACTGCTATTACAATAAAAGTAGTATTTAGAACCACCCACTCAGCAAACCTTGATAAAGCCTACAATATCATTTGCCATGCCTGTCAAATCTTCTGCCACTCTGAGGATTTGAAAGTGGATCTGCCGAGCTGCTCACCTTGAGATTCAGGAGATTCGTAAAACTGAAGAGTAGGAGTAGGAAAAAAAAAAAAACTAGCGCGCAGTTTTGTTTGATTTGTTTAGGACTGCAGAAATATCATATAGTGCTTCAAATGATTGCCAGTAACTCTTCTTAGACGTCGGCGATCATCTTAGTACTCACAATTATGCGGCGCAAGAGTAATTGAACAAACTGTACTGTGTCCTGTGACTATAGTGCTGACAGCCCCTTCAGGGTTCATAGCACCCGAGTGAAACAAAATTCAAGGGTTTTCAAGAACTTTCAAGGACTTAACAAGTACTTTTCAAGGACCTGCTCAGACCACCCATGTCTAACACGTGAAAGCGCAGAAAATTACACCACTTCTTACAACATAAAGATTTGCACTTTATTTGGACGGTTGGCACCATAAATGCACTCAAGTTACTATGGACTGTAGTCGCTTTTGTGTTCTCAATGTGTTTCGTACTCTTCATGCGACTTTTAAGGACAGACTTCCCCATGAATGACATATCAAAGTTCTTCCCACATGGGAAAACTTTACCTGATGCGAGTTTGACGTATCAGGTGCAATCCATATCAGGTGCAATCCCTTCCCTATAAGCAACAATGCATAACCAAGACAGCTGGTATTTGCACTTTCCCGGCATAGTTCCACTATAAGCGACGCGAATGCGAATAACCGCGCACACTTGCACAGTCTCCACGAAAAAGCCAGGTTAGCTCCGTCGTTGCTGCTGTAACCACGCAAGTGCTACCACAATTATAGTCACGGTGTACTAGATGAGTAAGTACAATGTACTACAATATTGAAATACAGCTAGAGAAATGAATTGGATTGAATGGCTTGTTATCTAGAGAGCACATAGTTGCCAGGCACGCAAAAAAATCCACTAGATTATGGCTGTATGAACTTTAATGATGAAATTCAAGGAATTTTAAGGGCCTTTATTTTAATTTTAAGGACTTTTAATTTTAAGAAATATAAGGGTTTTCAAGGCCTAGAAAATGCCGTTTTGAAATACTAGGCCAAGAAATTTTCAAACCGCTCCCCC